GCCTGACGATTGCATATAGCATGAAACAGACTGTCGCCTCTAAGTGTTGACTTCTATGTTCACTTATATATATATATATATATATATATATATATATATATATATATATATATAAATTGTTAGAGGTACAAAAACATAATATTGCAAGGAAAAGATATAATTTGTTTCTTATAGGCATTGGGAAATATGAAAATAAAAAATAAGAAATGAAAACACATACAAGACAAACCAACCGGTTCCGTTCCCAAGCTCATCAGGGTCGATTGGGAACAGATTAATATAATAATTATAATTTACGTATTTATAAGGATTGGGACATACCCATTAGTCTTCATAGGTACAGTATATCACAAATATACGGAAAATTTTACTTTGAAATACGAAATAATCAAAACCGAAATTGTTGCAGATAAAAACGCCAAATGATGAATAAAAGGTATTCTTGATGAAATTTGCATCGTGATTATATTTACTGAAACATTGTTTTCAAAAATTATAGCTATCATTACAAGATTGTCACTTCGGGTATACATTAATCATAATAGTAGGTACAATTAATAATAAAACTATCACCAGAAGATACATTTTAGAAGATAATGCCACAATCAAATAAAGGGCTCGCCGTAAAGAAAAACTCAAAATCATAAAACTGTTATTATACAAATGAAACAACTCCCATTAATCTTTCGTCGCAGAAGACAATATCTTGAAGTCTGTATAAAATATTTAATATCTGTCTATATTTTTGAGATGAGCTATTATGAACACTACATTATTCGGACTATTGTCCCCATCTTTGTCGCCATATTTATAACGACGTTTCGGTCGTCGTACGCTCGGGCCTTTTTCAGGTGGTTGTAATGACGAACTTGATCTAACTAACGCCTTTATCCACTGTGCCATGTATCCTTGAGTTAGTTAGATCCAGTAACAGCACCCAAAGTCTATATATCTAAACTTAGTGCCCGACGAGCTGTAATCCAGCGAAACATTAGTCGCACACCAAAACGTAGGTACACGTATATGTACTTATCTTTGCTCTGTCTAACCATATCGAGGACTATTATGTATATATTTGATGACTATTTATTTGCTTGCCCGTGTATATACACCAACATGCGCCTAAAATCTTACTTATATCTGGTCGTTTGATTTATCTATTCACGATCGATATCTATCTATCTATCTATCTATCTATCTATCTATCTATCTATATATATATATATATATATATATATATATATATGAAAGGAAAAATTTATAGTAGTTCAACGAGAGAAAAGTGTGTATATTAAAAAAAAGAGAGATACCGCAAACGTTTTTGGTTGCAATGTGGATTTTTTTTTAAAAACATATTATGCTTTATTTTCCATAATTTTACTAGACGTGTTTCTGGTCTCGCGACCGTCTTCAGGTAAAAGGCGTAGAATTCCACATATTATTAAAAATAATTATGTTTTTCAATGTTAAATATTCTCGATATGAGACATTCTCTGTTTTTGTGTTAATAATCCGAATGTTTTTCTTGAATTGGCAATGAAGAGTTCTGCGTGAAGGGTCATAAAACAATTAAGATTGGTCCGAGAGAAATGATGAATTACTTATCGGTATTTTATGTTTTAATGACCTCTGTGTGTTCTTAGATCTATTTCCATTTTCGTGTGTTTCCGTCAGCATGCCTGTATATGTGTGTATATTCCCTCTCCATACATACACACTGTCTCACTACGAGGAATTAGTAAACACATTTGTACACATACAAACATACACCCCCACACACATACCGTACCACTACAAGAAATCAGTATATGCTCACATACATACACACATACGTACACACACATACTTCCCAAGTTACATGGAACCAGTATACTCACACACACACACACACACACACACACACACACACATATATATATATATATATATATATATATATATATATATATATATCAATGCATGTTTTATAGTAATTCATATTGTCTGATAAGCTTAATCACATTATCATTAAACGACGGAAGGAAAACACCATATTGATACGTTAGCGATTTGCAAAAAAACAACATAGTTTACAAATTCAAGTGGCCTTTTGGAGATTGTATGGATTAAATAATATTTATGTTGGTCACACCACAAACTCGCTTTCACGACGCTTGACACTACATTTGAATGATATATCTAACATTTTAGGCCTTTAAAACAATATGCCTGGCGCATACACAATTCTGGAAAATCCTTGTTGAAAACACAACTATACTTAAACATGAAAACAATAAACAAAAACTAAAAATTCTTGAAGCTATATACATAAAACAGTTGAAACCTAACCTGAAGAAAATAAACTATGAAATCTTCACAAATATTCTTAAATGCCTATAATTGATAACAGAAGCCATTGGTTTATACCAACGGCTTCCCATACTTAATACTTCTCGTTTTCACTCTCGCGTGGTCATGGGTGACGTCATGAGCAGCGACGCGATTTTCGCCTCCGCGTCTCGTATACACGAGTTTGTCGTTGCTTTGAAATTTTTCATGCAACAAAAGCAGACTATCATTATTGTTTCGTCCTTGTGTTGTTTGATATATTGAAATTGTCATCTTTGATAATGGCTTATGTAAGCCGAAAGCTTAGATTGGATTAAAGCGTGTATCAATATGGTGATTTCCTTTCGTCTTTCAATGATAATGTTATTAAGCTTATCGGACAATATGAAAGGAACTTAAAATAAATAGACAAAACTTGTATATATTATTTAATGAAACATGTATTAATGAAAAATTGCTACTTAATATATTATATATATATATATATATATATATATATAATAATACGTAAAACGTTAATGGTCAGAGTTGAATCAGACCAGGAAACAGTAATATTAAAAAGTGCTCACTACACGTGTGAAAAAATAAAATAAAAGTAAAAATAACATGTACAGCATTTAACTTCAAAATCAGAAGGTCAGTTGCTAACTTGGTTTCAACCTTACGGACACCTCAGACAATTTTTATCAAATGACCTCTTAACGCTTTATTTTTCAAAAAAGAACTAATGAACGCTATATTGATATTTTCAAAAATGAATAAAGAAATAAACGTTCGACGTTGGGTGTAATAGAAAGGGAGGATGACGATGTGAAGAAAGAAGTAGAAGAAGAGATATGGAAAGAAGAAGAAGAAGAAGATATGGAGAGAAGAAGAAGAAGAGATATGGAGCGAAGAAGAAGAAGAAGAAGAAGAAGAAGAAGAAGAAGAAGAAGAAGAAGAAGAAGAGATATGGAGAGAGGAAGAAGAAGAGATATGGAGAGAGGAAGGAGAAGAGATATGGAGAGAAGAAGAAGAAGAAGAAGAAGATATATGGAGAGAAGAAGAAGAAGAAGAAGAAGAAGAAGAAGAAGAAGAAGAGGAGATATGGAGAGAAGAAGAAGTAGAAGAGATATGGAGAGAAGAAGAAGAAGAAGAAGAAGAAGAAGAAGAAGAAGAAGAAGAAGAAGAAGAAGAGGAGATATGGAGAGAAGAAGAAGAAGAAGAAGGAAGAAGAAGAAGAAGAGATATGGAGAGAAGAAGAAGAAGAAGAAGAAGAAGAAGAAGAAAAAAGAAGAAGAAGAAGAAGAAATATGAAGAGAAGAAGAAGAAGAAGAAGAAGAAGAAGAAGAAGAAGAAGAAAGGCAGAGGCACTCTAAGTGTATTGGTGGGAGAGGGTTTCTTTCTATTACACCTAACGTCGTACGTTTGTTTATTTATTTATTTTGAAAATGACAATATAGCGGTCATTTTTTTTCCAAATAAACCGTTTCAGTTCATATGACAAAAATCGCTTAAGGATACCGTAAGGTTGAAAACAAGGTAGCGAAATCAAGCAACGTCCTGATTTTTAAAGTATGCATACATACATACATATACATATATATATATATATATATATATATATATATATATATATATATATATATATATATATATATATATATATATATATTCTATACAGCGAGTTATTTGAAGTGTTTAGCATTTACTAATTCCGCATGCTGTATTTTACGAAGGTTTCAGGGTAGGATTGGCATTAGTTATTTCCAAATTATTGTTTCTGTTTTGGAAAGGTTTAATCTTGTGTCTTACATCTTCGAATACTTATTAAAGGATGCTGATATATTGCTCAAAATCCTCCTTGTGTCAAACATAAATACTTATGTCATCATCATAGCTTACCTTATCCTCTGTACATTGGCCTCGATGGGGAACCACGAGCACTGTTTTCTAGTAGAAGATTTATTTGGAATACGGTAAGAAATATTTAAGTGATCAGTGTTCATCTGTTCAGATCTGTGTTTGGATACGCACAAAGCATAGTGCAGGTAGACATTAAATAGATTGGCACTTGCATTTTCTTCTTGTCGTATTCCAGATGTGTGGAATGTCTCAATATGTACAAGTTTGTGAACTGATATATTTCTTCTATCAAGTTTAGACATTCAGGGGAAGGCAGTTTCTCATGAATGAGAAGAGGAAGTCTCTATTGATCTGGTCGTATGCAGCAGTGAGGTCTAAACAGCAGGTGTAAAATTCCTTTTGGAGAGCTAAATAATTTCCTGGAATTGTTTAATGACGTATATACCCTCGTTACAACCTTTACTGGAGTGAAAGCCAAACTGGGTCTAGAGGATTCATTTTCTCACGCTTGACGTATAAAAATGTGCGACATTGGTTCTTGCCACCCCTAAAAAAAAGGACTCTTTTTGCGATGATTTCCAAAAATTAATTAAACTTCTTCCCGCTTCTTTTGTAAATCTACCAATGAACACTTATCCTCTAGTATTTCTCAAATGCCGTGTCCTTTGATGTGTGTGGACATGACTCTTCACGACTTCCTATCCTTCGTAGATCTAAGTAATGCTAGTTTTCTTATTATTCCTCTCAGTCCCTTTTCTCTCACCCATTTGAACAAAGCCGTTATATACGATACTAGCTGTTACCCTCTGTTCATCTTACCGTCAATCATACGGCCATATCACTTTGAAAAACCCGTTCTTGTACAATTATCGAAGTTAAGCAACGTCGTGTCTGGTCAGTACCTAGATAGGTAACAGCTTGGGAATAGCAGGTGCTGCAAGCTTATATATACGGATCGCGTAATGGATAAAACATTGGAACTGAAAATTGTAAATTCGAGTTCAATTCCAGTCAAGTTCTGTATATTCACTTTCGCACAAATACTCTTGTGAAATGTATCAATCAACCTCCTCTTCCAGTAGCTACGGGTTAATTGATAGGATTTGTATGAATAAATCATTATTACCATCAAAGAATTCTTAAAATCTAAAATATGTTCTACCTTTAAATAAACTGCAATGGCTTTTAAAATATCTAACAATATTTTCTGGCTTAAAATGATATGTAAAATTCTTCAAAAACGCTTAAGAATATATTCTGGCTTTAAATAACCCACAACAGACGTAAAACATCCACAAATATTTCCTGGCTTTAAACAATCTGCAAATAGCTTTAAAAATATCTAACAATATTTTTTAGCTTAAAATGACATGTAAAATTCTTCAAAAAAAGTCTAAAAATATATTCTGGCTTTAAATAACCTGCAAAAGGTTTATAACATCCACAAGTATTTTCTGGCTTTAAATAACCTGCAAAAGGTTTAAAAATCTACAAATATTTTCTTGCTTTAAATAATCTACAAAAGCCCTAAAAGAAGCACATTAATTTCTCATCCAATCATTCTATGTGCTGTGTTAAATTCTCCAAGCCTTCTTTCCTCATTATTTCCCAGATAGTTCAACTCTATCTTTCTGATTCTCGGTAAAAGTACTCTTTGTGATTCCATTTTTATCTAAAACTTCCTCGTTGTTTACATGCTTCGTCCATGATATTCTCAGCATTCTTCTGTAGAACGAAATCCCTTCTTCATCTCTGAGGTAACTGTCCCGCTTTCACCGCCATAAAGGAGCATTGATATTACTTAGCATTTGAGAACTCTTGTCTGTATTTTTAACGAAGTGTAGTTTAAATAAGTCTGTATTGCTACGACGTCATTGTACAAATCAATATACCGCTGGTTCAATTCGACGTCCTTGCTTTCTGAACACGTCCAAACGTATATCCATCTTTCCTTCTCACTGCTTCAGCCCTCTTTTTTCAGGCTGCGGTCGACCAACCAATCAGCGTTCTTCGCTTTTATTCTCAGTTACCCAGGCAAATAGCCTCCTCTAGTTCGACCAATCAGCGAACGACTTGCTATTGGTGGAAGCATGCCAAACTGTACAAAAAACACTCATTACCACACATACTTCTAGACGGGAGAGTAATGCTATTTTCAAGGGGCAAACTTGCCGATGTCACGTACCACACGTTAAGGGAAGACCCTTATTTTCCTATGCACCAGATGCAAGCCACTCTGGCTCGTTTGCTTCTACGGGGCTGTTCCCCACACGAAGGCTTCCTGATTCTTATTAATTTGTTTAGATTTTAAAAGAGACTTTCGCAATTCCAATGAACGTTCACACTTTGTTATATTTTCACAGTCTGTTGTAACACTTCCTAGATCGTTAAACTTATTTACATGTTTGGTTCTGACGCCTTCACTTCGTCACTTACGTCTTGGGATTTTTCTTTTGCTAAAGAACATTCATTTTGTCTTCTCACAATTGGTGGCTAGTCCTTTCTTCCTTTACTGTCCCGTCTAGTAGTTTTTGCACGTTTTTTCTGTATGATAGCAGTTATGAGCTCGTCTTAAGTTGTAAAAATTGTACCCCCCCACCAAGAATAAATCCTGGTAGGAATTCTTTTTTTCTCTAAAGAACACCTCCATGTGAACGTGAAATAAAACTGCTCAGAAGGCACATCGTTTTCATTCGCACCTTTTCTATTTGTGAGTACTTATCCAGTTCATTTTGTGTTTGACTACACTCTGGTACGTTCCAATAAATGTTCTGGATTATTCCTTACCAAATAAGTTTCCCTAGCAGTTCAAATACATCTTTGTGTTGTGCATTATCAAATTCTTTTGGTAGTCCTTTCTGTGTTGGTATTGATCGTCCCGATATCATTCTGATCATAAATATTGCATTTCTTGTTCCAGTGTCATTACTATTTTTGTTCTGTTTCTGGTCGAATTCTACTGTAGATTATTTCTCATCAGAATCCACATTATAAACGTAGTTCGTTCACCTGATTGTCTCATGGAGATTTGCATTCATTTGCACCTAACTTCCCCGCCAACGCTTTACCAAATTCTTCCAGTATTGTTTCCGTAATCTTGCCCACCCAGAAAAGTTGATAGATTTCAAAGAAATTAGGACGAAGCAATTCTTTGGAGTCGTGCAATAAATTCAGTCGATCATAAGCTCCAGTGCAAATAAAATCAGCAAGAAATTCATACACAATAGCAATCTGTGAAAATAAGGCCATATTCTAAGCAATTATTCGACAAAATCCAGAGACGCATATGCAATGTGCTAGGTCCTGATCTGGCATCTCGTCTAGAGTCAGTTTCTCTCAGACGTGCTGTGGCTTCCCTTTGTCTTTTCTATAGGTATTTTCATGTAACTGCTTTGACGAGTACTCTGACTGGTTCCCAAACTGCATGAATTTAAGCATGCTGCTAGGTTGGCACTTCGGTCCCATCCTTCCTCTGCCGAAACGGTTAAATGTAACCGTTTCTTCTACTCCAATCTCGCACTTCTTCTCATCTCGCACTTCCCGACAGTGGAATTCCTTTCCTCTTAATTACTTCCCTGATGGCTATAATCTTCAAATATTCAAATGTAATGTCAATCGACATCTTCTGATGCCTTGTCCTTCTCTTTCTCCTTTCCCCAAACACCTCTCTTTACTCTTGCTCTCACTCCCCGTAACCCCTTGCGTGCTAATGACACTCCCGCTTTGCTTGGGGTGATATACTTAAAAAAATGGGGCAATTGTTTTTACATAGTTAAATTCCAAGATAGTCATACCTTTTTTTTAACAGAATAGATTCCATCTTATTGGTTCAGAAACATCTCAAGATGGGGTTGAAGCTCACGCCATCTGTACTCAGAATCATCTCTTATAATACCAGGTATTGGAGTTCTCTCAACAAGTTGGATGCTTACACTGGGAGAAATGGAAATTCTGTCCGGACATGCTTCCTTAAGCCTTTCCTCAACACCGTAAATCACCCGATTTGGACGGCTCTGCGTATCGAAACAAATCATTGACATATCCTTAAGCGAAATAAATAAATAACCAATAAAGTAAAAATAAATCCTCATATCAATGTACCCATTTCATTCTGAAGGCTAACCGTATGCAGTTACCTCCCAAAACCGGTCATTAGCAATGAATAATCAACAACACAACTTATAAATTTTCAATCTGTTGTATCTTTTTTTTCCTCTCTGAAGAACAGAGACGTTGTAATACAGATAACTCACGAAGAGTTGTCTTCCCTTGATTCCAAACTTGCTCTCACCCTTTTCAGAGACCCCACACTTAACTACAAGAAATAGGAGACGAACCCATTTCAGATTTGGGTGTCAAAATTAGGTTGGGAAACGAGAGTGGGAAGATTCAAAATTGACGCCGTCTCTCGGGTGAATATTTTATCTAAACGGATATACGACGCACTTCGTCTCAAAGACAAAACAAGGTGGTGAACCACTAGAAGCATCAGGTTATCTGTCTACGAAGGACTGCCGCTCGATATGTTGGCATGCTGCCGACTGAAATGTTAGTTAAAATAGAAAATAACGCAAGATTGATCTTTCTATGTCACTGAAACGAATTCGTCAGCCATTTAAAACCTGAAACAGAATCATTATTTGGGTTTGATGAAGCTGATATACGAATGCCAGTTCAATCTGCAAGCCACCAATAATAAAATGCTTGAATTCAGTACTTTCTTTTTACAATATAGATTATGAACAGGAGTCGTCTTCCTCGGATCGCGGACTCACTCTGACATTTTTGCAGAGAGCCAGCTCAAATCACACACTATTATTTGACGCTGTAAATGTTCTGGAAATAAATATTCCTCTTTTCAATTAAGGTCACCAAATACAAGGCTCAAGAGGCACTCAAGGTAGAGGGTTACTGAATATGTTATGTGATATAGAGGGGAGAGTAGAAAGTTAATCATATGACGATATGGGAGATAAATAACGATTGTTCCTAGAATTGAAAAGGTTAAGATTGTAGTATTCGTGGAAGCATCCCAGTAGGAGTCTGTTTCACAATGTAGCATTTCTGAAGGAACATCTTTCTTGGTAATAGATTATGTAGGGAAGAATTTATTCAACTCCGTTCATGTAGTATGACGGGTTTTGGTTTCAGAGTCGGTGACACTAAAGACTGGGGCGCGTCTATAGATTTGACATGGACGTCGCTATATGTCTGCGTTATTAGGTCTGTGGAGTAAGTGGGCTGTAGGTTAGAGAATACTTCATCCCACACAAGGCGGAATAAACGATTTCGGACTCTATCAATGCTGAAGAGTGTGGATTAGGCAACCCAAGGCCGAAATACAGCAGCAACACACTATTTTTGCGTCGTCTTACACTTGTAAAGAAAGAATCAATTACTTTTTTGAAGAGGTACAAGGAATCCGTCCATTTTACAAGCATTTTGACGATGGAACGTATGCATGAATTCCAAATGAGATCTGGGGTCAACTTGAGCCCTAATAGAAGTTCCTGGCAAGAAGATTCATTGAGACTGCCACCTTTCAACACGACTAGTGAATATACAACGTCTGTCTGTGATTTAAACTGTTACTAGGCTCGTTTTCCATTGGACCGGTGCCACAGATTTGCATTCTCTTAGCAACAAATAAAATCTTACAACTTTTGATATCTCGATAAGATTGAGCAGCGCCAGCTTAAATATGATATTTTCCATTTTTAATCTAATCTGACTATTCTAAAGATAGAACAAGGCCTAAGGAGTCAGATGCATTCTCAGTAGGTACAAGGGACAGATCATTTCTTAAGCCTCTTCACCAATGGCTCTTATATATGGCTTCCCTTTTTATAAAAAAAATGATCTTATCCCAAGTATACATATTGTCTGTTCTTATCTATTTATCTTTACTCTTGCTCTTATTGTCTGTAACCCCTTGCATGTTG